TGGGAGGAATCTGTAGGTTATGGAGATTTTTAAGAATCTTCACTATGATTTAATTGCTGAGAGAGTGAATGTTGATGAGGAAGAGTGGATTAAAGATTTTGGGAAAACTCAGTATCTGATGTGGGTCAGACCTGATGATGAAAGCTATCAGACAAGGGAGCCAAGTAATTATAGTGGCCCAGGATCCAGGGAGGAAAAAGAGAGTGAGAGGAATGAGTTAGAAGATGGAGACAAACGTAGACCCAGAGACAGACAGCAAAAAGAAGCAGAAAAATGGGAAACATTTGAGAAGGAACTTCAGAGTTAGCAGCATGAGGTGTGATAGATGAGAATCCTGGGAAGAATATTTCAGTCATGAAAAGATTGTTCCTGGTCTCTTATTTTTATTTATGGTTTTAAAATTTAAACACTGTGAGAAGTTTAAGACAATAAAGTACAGAACACACAAGCTTATTGACAAATGTAATTCAATAAATGCATGCATTTTTCACAGCAAGATTTCAATTCAAGATTCATCTTCAATGTGAAAATCAGATTTTAGATGAATAGTCTACATTCAGTCATTCATTGATGAGCAGAGAAAGAGCTCAATCTATGTAGTTGGCCCTGTGCTACACACTGTGGCTGTAACTGTGAAAATAACTTAGATTTCATACAAAACTCTACCAAAATTTCCTAAGATTGATCTTGTCCAGGAAGGTTTATGTTACTAAAACAATATTTTTTCCTAACAGGCTTTAAGAAAATATTGAAATAGATGGACCTAGATAAATATGTCCTTATTCCTCTGAATAGATGTCTTTGAGCTGTCAATATGTTTTATTATATATATTTCTTAGACTAATTGTCCACTTTCCATTTGTCTCTTTTCAACAGTTATTTTGAAGATTTTAAAAAATTTATTTTAATTGGAAAATGCATAATGTAGGAAGCTGTACCTGAATATATAGGAAACCAGGTTCATTCTCAAATCATATGCCAGTAATTTCAATGAAAACAAAGAAACTGAAGTTGATGAAGGTGTCTTGACACACATCCTCAGCCTTTTGTATTTAAAATGTTGGTTTTGCTCAGTGGGTAGAGCAGACACCTGCAGACTTAAGGATCCTGATTGCAGTCAAGGGCACATGCCTTGGTTGTAGGTTCCCCAGCTCACATGGATGTTTCTCTCTGTTTCTCCCTCTCCTTTTCACTCTCTAAAATTCAATGGAAAAATATTCTAGGGTGAGGATTCACATACACACAAAAAAATTGTCCTAATCTGTAAATATAATATTGGACCCGATCTTCGGGTATTTTTTCAGTTTGATTAGTTTTAAGTTCAATGATAGAAGACTCTTTGGGGTGTGTGTGTGTGTGTGTGTGTGTGTGTGTGTGTGTGTGTGTAAAATGGGAAATATTTATTAATGATAGTGGAAACAAATATAGAAGTCAGTAAAAAAAAAATGAGCATCTCAATGGTTTTTTTAGAATCTGGAAGAGTAGGTGAGGTGAAACATTAGGGACTGTGATATTTGGGAGCCAGAGTACATTTTTCTTTGAAATTGTGAATAAACAGCTTGGAAATAATCTAAGATGTTGTTTTATGATACTTGTTTTATTTCAGTTGACTTAGGGCACTGAAAAGCAAGTTCTGGCTAAATTGTTTTGCGGTAATTGTTATGCTGGGATGCATTACTTTAAAAATATTTTGACTTATATTTGGTTTTAGTGTAACTGAAATGTGGGCTTATACACAGGCACACTTAAAGACCAGACTTTTTCTGAGGTTGTTGCTATGAGATGACCCCCCTGCTTTAAGTACTGCTCATACAACAGTACTTATGGCATGTGCTTACATAGCTGTAGAGCATCTTGGAGTTGGAAAAGACTATAACAATGTGGAAGCAAACAAAGACAAAAAATGAGCATAGGTAAAGGCTATTTATTCAGAGATTATGACACCATGGGCAGTCAGACACCAGCACTTACATTTCGCAGGCACTCAAAGTCAGGAAAAAGAGTGAGAAATCTTTATAGTGGGAAAGATAGAGAGAGTTTCAGATATGCCCCAGTTGGAGTCTGTTGGCCTGGGGAAGCTGTAAGCAGGCTAACTAAAAGCAGGGCATCCGTTGTGATTAATTTTGGGTATATATTTGACTTTTCTCTGGTTGGCTCTATATTGGAAACTGGGTCCAAAATCCTGGCTATTTCGGGCTAAGTGCTACATAGTATGTCTTCCTAACTTGCTTGCTAGAGAGAGTAGTCTGACTTGTAGATAGCAGGTTGGCTTCCTGTACTGCTACTCTAGATAATAGCTCAGAGCTCTATTTTTATATGTTACTGGCAGTTTTCCATGTGTATGTTCAGTCTCTCAGTGATCATCTAGTCTAAATGTAGAAAGATTTAAAAAAATTTCATAGAGACAAATGGCTATAATTTATTTAAGTTTAATATTGCTTTTAACATGTATGGCTCTTTATTTTCAAAATATCTTTAGATGTAGAATATCATTAGATCCTTCTAATTAAAGTGAGGAAGTTAGGCAAAGCTGATATTATCTCCATCCTATATAGTAAAAGCCTAATATGCAAATTGACCAAACGACAGAATGACAGGCAGAAAGACCAGTCACTATGACGTGCACTGACCACCAAGGGGCAGATGCTCAATGCAGGAGCTGCCTCCAGCTTTCAGGCCCCAGACCTGCCAAGATGAGTTCCAGCAGGGGACCCCAACTTTCCCTGCAGTCACCCCACAGATCATCCCTGATCACCAGCCAGGCCTGGGGATCCTACCTTTGTAAGAATTTTGTGCACTGGGTCTCTAGTTTTTAGATAATAAATATGAGATTCCAAAAGGAAAAACTGAGTGTTCAGTGACATGCTTTACCAACCCAAGACAATGGCCAGGGCTGCAAAGCCTGGCATCTTGGTTCTTTACCCAGAGCTGCTTATGGCTCTGCCATACAAACTCAGGTAATGGGAAAACAGAGTGTGACATTTCTATCCCATGACTAAAAGTTCATGGACATTTGAACCTACACACAAAGAAAGAAAATGCAGGTCCTCTGAAACATTTCTGTGAATTTTTTTCACTTCGGTCTTTCTCAAAGATCCCTTATTGGAATAAAACTTTCAATATTGTAAATTTTACAACTTGTAACTGTTAGATAACCAGAATTTTGAAACTGCAATCAGCTTTGTGCCACTTTAATACACTTATAACACTCACTTGATTCTCTTGTTCCTTTAGGAATGTTATATTTCCTACATACATTGAAAAGATGCTGGAGGAGTTAAGAAACCTAATAAATTAATGAATTCATTAAATACCTGTGGGTCAATATGCTAGGGGTACTGGAGATACCAAATAAAAAAACAAAAAACAAAAAAAACAAATATCAGACCCTGCTTTTAAAGAACTCAGGGCCTTTTGATAAGAGCAAATACATAGAAAAAGTATACCCCTGCACAGGGTGGCATATGGGTGGGGAAGGTTTCAGACAGTACTTGAATTAAGTAACCTGGCCTGTGAAGAGTTAACTGAACATAGAAAGGATATAAGGGTATTTAAAAAAAAAAAACAGCATTGTTTTTGCTAGAGCTGGGATGGAGAAGAAGACATTACAACCAATTTAGTATTGTTTTTATAATACACTATTTCTGGAAAAGTAACAAACTTAGAGAGGAAGGAAAGAAAGAGATGATGGAGAATCTTTTGGGTCATACCAAAGAGTTTCAACATAATTCTGTGGATAACAAGAATCTTCTGGAAGGACTTTTAGTCAGGGGTACATTATGAGTAGATTTGCATTTTGGGGTAGATTTTGTTTTCAAGCACTTCTCTATGTCTTTTGTAAGATGCTATTCCATGAAATAACATTTTTTCTTATAGTAGCAAGGGAACAGCACTCTTAAAACCATCGTTATTACATGTATTTTTAAATACTTCTGTGCATGCATTACAGAATGACTATCACAACCATTCTCTGAAATAACACTTGATAATATTTTCATTTCAAACAGATCACATTGGCAATTTGGAGTTTATATTTTAAGGAGTCAAAAAATATTTCAAGGCTGATGATTTCAGCTTGAACCATAGAAACTGAATTAAACATGATACAAAATGGAACAGGAAAGAGAGCATGATATTCAGAAGTAAAATGTGTAGAATCCGCTGAATGATGGATTTGGGGAATAGTAGTTAAAGAAAAGGAGAGCACACTTCCAGCTGGATGGTTGGTTGGACAACAGGACTTAATAGTTTAGAAAAAAACAGTGCCAGTCAGTGTATAAAATGTTGAACTTATGTTTTCCATGGGGACTTATCCAGCAGGAAGTTTTTAGTCTAAAGCTCCAGAGAATGGCCCAGGCTTGTGATAAAATATTTAGAAATCACCAACACCAGACAATTGCTAGTTGAATCCTGGAGGATAAAAATAACAAAAAGATATCAAGACAGTGGTAAGCTAGACCATGGGGACAACCATCATATAAGAGATTCATAGTGGAAGACAAGTTATGGATGACACAGAAATGCCATGAGACATAGAACACAGCACAGGAAGATGGGCCATCAGGAAGCTAAGAGAATTGAAGATATAAATAAGAGAGTATTAAGGAGTTTTCAGATAGATTTAAGGTGTCTTCTAAATTTGCCTACTCCAAGGTCAAGGCGATATTAGCAAGTTTTAGTAGAGTGGCTGGAATGAATTATGTCACGGTGAGCAGTGGAGTAAGAAAAGATGAGACAGAAAAGACAATGAGTATAAAGAGTACTTTAAGAGTTACTAAAGGAGTCTCAAGATTCACTGAGCTTCTCTTCCCTTGAGAAAGCTCTTTGCCAGGATACTAACCTGAACTCCTCCCCATTATACTGAAATGTTGTAATCTCTAATACACATATAGGTCTCTAAAAATATATTGAAAGCATTCAGAAAATTGTTCTTCAACTTTTAAAGAAATCTGGGAAGCATTTGTCTCTTGTTTAATCGTGCAATTCTGGTTAACACACAGAATCAACAGAGGAGCTCAAAGTGCGAAGCCACAGCACAGAGCCACTGCCAAAGCTGGACAGCAAAGAGAAAGGACACCATGGGGCATCTTCCAGAGAGCCTGTCAAAGCTCAGGAATGGGATGGAACACCAGGGCCACCTGTGGTCACCAGCAGACTGGGAAGATGCTCTGTGAGCCCCACCTTGTTAGCAGGAAACCACAGCTCAGGTAAGAAAGATAATCTCCCACATAGATGGTAACTCCTCATGTCTCTGGAAACTGCTTCATGCAATTATCACTTGGAGAACCATATCCACAGATATCTCTTTCTACTCATAGGGAGAGCATGAATAGCCCTTCACATACCAGAAGTTAATAATATGTTAGACCACTCCAGGGACCATCGTTCACATGGGCAATGGAGTAGTGAATGTGTTTCTTAGAGCTGTGTGATGCAGCAGCCTTGATAACTAGAAATATCTCAATCTAAATTTTATCTAGAGTTAGCGCCTAAAGCAGTTTTTTTCATTTATCAAGTTCAAGGGATTTAAAGTTCATGCCTCTTTTGCTTCAAAACAGATTTTAAGCAACTTGGAAATTAACAGAAAATAAAATTGAAGATAAAAATGCAACAGAGACGTGTTAGTTGGTTTGGCTCAGTGGATAGAGCTTCCACCTTCGAACTAAAGGATCCTGGGTTTGATTCCTGTCAAGTGCACATACCCAGGTTGTGGGCTCGATCCCCAGTAGGGGGCGTGCAGGAGGCAGCTGATCAATAATTCTCCCTCATCATTTATATTTCTATCTCTCTCTCTCCCCCCGATCCTCTCTGAAATTAATTAAAAAATGGTTTTTTTTAATGTAACAAAGATGATCTGAAGGCAATAGAGGGAGTAGATATTAGGAGGCATTTGAAGTGGTGAGCTGAAGAATTTCACCTGGGACTACGTTTCCAAGTCTAAGTCAAAAATAGAAAACTATAATCTAATATACCTTTAAATTTCAAAGTTGAAATTAAAATTTGCAATGCAATTTGCATTGTTAATAGATAAATGTTATTAAACTTCAATTTTTAAAAAGCATTATATACTTGTTTTGAACTGACTCAGCTATGTGATAGACTTACAAAAAGCTGTCAATTGAAATAAACAACAAACAACAGCTGCCTGTAGTTTTCAGGTTTCTATTCCTTAACAGTGTTAGGGCTCTAAAGAAATGACCAATCTTTAAAGTTCTTTTAAACTCTTGATACATTGGAAAGCAATTTACATTAATTTAGCCTGTGGTCTCTCTTGGGTCATGCACAAGTTAAAATTAAAACAGGATGAATGGTTTCTGGGGAAGAGATATTTCTAGAGGAGTACTCAGGAAAAGCAGAACAATAGCTTCTCCATACTTAAAATGTAACTTAAACCTTTGGTGATGCAATTCTATAACCAACTTGAGCAACCTGGGGGAAGGAATATTATGTGAATTTAGCAGAAATTTGAAAAAAAAATCTATACTAATAAAAGGGTAATATGCTAATTAGATTGGACATCTTCCTGATGTCCTTCCAGTCGTCCTTCTGGACAAAGCCACAGTGGCTGTGAGGGCTGAGGGCCAGCTGCAAGGAAAAGGCGGCTCTGAGGGAGAGGCAGTGCTATAGCCCCTTTCGTAGAGGTGGAGCAGGAGCGTGGGTGACTGGGAGGTGGTTAATACCAAATGCTGAGCAGGGTTTAGATGGGAAAGCCAGCACTTCCATTTTGACTATGTTACGTTGGAAGTACTCTTGGGACATCTGATTGAGAAGATAGCAGACAGTTGGAATTACAGGTCTGGAGCTAAAGAGATTTAGTGGAATTAGAGATTAAGAGTAAAGACATTTTTTAAATATATATATATATTATTGACTTTTTACAGAAAGGAAGGGAGAGGAATAGAAAGTTAGAAATATTGATGCGAGAGGAAGATTGATTAGCTGCCTCCTGCACACTTCCCACTGGGGATGTGCCCGCAACCAAGTTACATGCCCTTGACCGGAATTGAATCCGGGACCCTTGGGTCCACAGGTGGATGCTCTATCCATTGAGCCAAACCAGTTTCAGCAAGAGTAAACACATTTAGAATGGTTAACACCATAAGACTAACTGATTCTAAATAAGAAGAATAGGAAACAGAGGTGAAGAAAACTGAGATTAGACCTAGGGAATCCAAACACTTTATATTTATTTATTTATTTATTTATTTATTTATTTATTTATTTAGAAAACTGAGATTAGACCTAGGGAATCCAAACACTTTTTATTTATTTATTTATTTATTTATTTATTTATTTATTTATTTATTTATTTTTAGCATATTAGGCTTTTATTATATAAGATGTGAAGTACCTCCAATGTAGAACTCTGGACAAATGTTACTTGGGGTATATCTGTCTTCCAAAAGTCCTCCCTTCCTTGGAGACGAAGCACAAATCTTATGATTTTTATGAAATGTTTGCTTATACCACAGAACTGTTTTCCATATTCTTCCTACAGTTTTCTGTTCTTTCCACTAGGTTTGGACTTGCCTTCTTCCTTCTATTTAATTATAAGCTCCAGGAAGGCAACTCTTTGTTGAAATCCATGAGCACTGAGGGTGATTAATAAATATCTAGTAGAAGTTTGATTCAATTAACCCAGTACATGTACCTTAAGTCAAACTGTCCATGGACAACCACAGTCTTGGACTCCTCGTGGAATGGTCTGAGAATCTACATACATATAAAGTACTATCCCTAAACAGAATCTCTCTCACATATAACATGACCTACATTTTTCCATTCTCTGGACAAGATCTTGTCCTAAGTCCTAGGCAGAAATATGAATGAAGGCCCACATACCATAGGTATATATATTTAAATGTTATAAGTCAAACAAACAGTTTAATACAATATGTCCTATTCTCCCACCTTGACAACTGTATCTTTGTAATGCCCTGGCAAGTATTCAGAATTTCCAAACTCCTTGCATTTCTTTCTTTCTTTTTTAAAATATATTTTATTGATTTTTTTTGCCCCCCTCCCTCCCTCTCATACATACCTTCCCTTCCCAGAGTTTTATGTCCATTGGTTGTACTTATATACATGTATACAAGTCCTTCGGTTGATCTATTATCTCCCCCAGATCTCCCTCCCCTCCCCACTGTAATTTGACCGTCTGCTTGTTGCTTTACTGTCTCTATATCTATCTTTTGGTTCGTCAGTATATAATGTTCTTTATTATCCATAAATGAGTGAGGTCATGTGGTGTTTCTCTTTCATTGATTGGCTTATTTCACTCAGCATGATGTTCTCCAGTTCCATCCAGGTTGCTGCAAAAGATGAGAATTCCTTCTTTTTTATGGCAGCATAGTATTCCACTGTGTAGATGTACCATTGTTTTTTGATCCAATCATCTGCTGATGGGCACCTAGGCTGTTTCCAAATTCTGGCTATTGTAGATTGTGCTGCTATGAACATAGAGGTGCATATATCTTTTCTGATTGGTGTTTCTAGTTTCTTGGGATATATTCCTAGGAGTGGGATTACTGGGTCAAATGGGAGTTCCATTTTCAGTTTTTTGAGGAAACTCCACACTGTTCTCCACAGTGGTTGCACCAGTCTGCATTCCCACCAGCAGTGCACAAGGGTTCCTTTTTCTCCGCAACCTCGCCAACACTTGTTCTTTGTCCATTCTGACAGGTGTGAGATGGTACTGCATTGTTGCTTTGATTTGCATCTCTCAGATAATTAGTGACTTTGAGCATGTTTTCATGTGCCTTTTGGCCTTCCTTCTGTCTTCTTTTGAAAATATTCTATTTAGGTCCACTGCCCATTTCTTAATTGGATCATTCATCTTCCTTTTATTTAGTTGTATAAGCTGTCTGTAGATGTTGGAAATTAAACCTTTATCAGTGGTATTATTTGCAAATATGTTCTCCCACACCGAGGGCTTTCTTGTTGTTTTGTTGATGGTTTCTTTTGCTGTAAAAAAGCTTTTTATTTTGATGTAGTCCCATTTGTTTATTTTCTCTTTAGCTTCCATTGCCCTAAGGGCAGTATCAGTGAAGAAGTTCTTTAGGCATACTTTTGAGATTTTGCTGCCTGTGGATGCTTCTAGTATTTTTATGGTTTCCCGTCTGATGTTTAAGTCCTATATCCATTTTGAGTTTATTTTTGTGTATGGTGTAAGTTGGTGATCTAGTTTCATTCTTTTGCATGTGTCTGTCCAATTTTCCCAACACCATTTATTGAAGAAACTGTCTTGACTCAATTGTATATTCGTGCCTCCTTTGTCAAATTTTAATTGAGCATAGTGATTTGGGTTGATATCTGGGTTCTCGATTCTATTCCATTGATCTATATGTCTGTTCTTGTGCCAGTACCAGGCTGTTTTGAGAACAGTGGCTTTGTAATATAGTTTGAAGTCTGGTATTGAGATCCCTCCTACTTTACTCTTCTTTCTCAGGATAGCTATGGCTATTTGGGGTCTTTTATTGTTCCAAATGAACTTTTGGAGAGTTCTTTCTAGGTCATGAAATATGCCTTTGGTATTTTAATGGAGAGTGCATTGAACCTATATATTGCTTTAGGAAGTATGGACATTTTGATGATGTTGATTCTACCAATCCATGAACATGGTATGTTCTTCCATCTCTTTACATCTTCCTTTATCTCTTTTTTCAGTGTCGTGTAGTTTTCCACATATATGTCCTTTATTTCCTTAGTTAAATTTATTCCTAGGTATCTTAATTTTTTTGGTGTGATGGTAAATGGAATTGCTTTTTTAGTCTCTGTTTCTGTAGTTTCACTGTTGGTGTATAGAAATGCCATGGATTTCTTGGCTTTAATTTTGTATCCTGCTACATTGCCAAATTCATTTGTTAAGTCAATTAGTTTTTTAATGGTGTCTTTTGTTTTTTTTATGTATAATATCATGTCATCATGAAAATAAGGATAACTTTACTTCTTCTTTTCCAATTTGGATGCCTTTTATTTTCTCCTCTTGTCTAATTGCAATGCCTAGTACTTCCAGCACTATGTCAAACAGGAGTGGTGAGAGTGGGCATCCCTGTCTTGTTCCTATTCTTAGAGGGAACGGTTTTAGTTTTTGCCCGTTGAGTATAATGTTGGCGGTGGGTTTATCATATATAGCTTTTATTAGTTGAGGTATGATCCTTGTACTCCCACCTTGTTAAGAGTTTTTATCAGGAAAGGGTATTGGATT